GTGTGAGAGAGAAAGGATGGGAAAAGGGGAGAGAGAGAGAGAGAGAGAGAGAGAGAAAGGAAGAAGGAGAGGGAGACAGAGAGGGAAGACAAAAGAGAGAGGCGAAGTCATTGAGAGAGACAGAGAGAAAAAAGAAAGAAAGGGAGAGCTAGAAAGAGAGACAGAGTATGGGAGAGAGGAGCCATCAGTGAGCAGTGTCCAGATGGTAGTAGGCTGTGAAACATCTCCCAGGTGTGTGCCCTGTCACCATATATCCAAAGTACATGACACATGAGGGAGGACAACAGGTGCTCACATCACTGAGGGCTTCTCAAACAGGGGGACGCGGACAGATGCTGGGACGCAGTCTTTGAAAGTTCTAATATATGCAAAGTTTGAAATGTTTTTAGTCTCATCTTTGTACAGTTTAGCAGAGGGGAGGAATTGCAAGTTGTGAATTGGACTTGAGTCAGACTTGAGAAAATGGACTAAGACTTGGGACTCGACTTAAACTCGAAGCTCAAAAACTTGGGACTTGCCTCGGACTTTAGGCCTGTGACTTCTCCTAAAAAATATGTTTTTAGAAAATACTTTTAACACACATTTCCACTTCTCTATTACTATGGATGTAACTGAAGTACTGTGATACGGATTGCTCAAGTGTACTACAGTAATATACAGTACAACACTATAACAGAGGGAACTACATAGAACATGATCCTTCCATTTCACAGCAGACTACAAATACATGACAAAATAACTGCACTTTTAAATCTTAATTCTTTCTGTTCTGACCATAACAATTTGCACTTTTGTCAGTGTTTAAAAAGGAATATATATAAACACTCATATATAAATAATACAATGACTATTTTTTTTAAGTACAATTTAGCTTAAAATTCATATAAATTGCAAAAATCTAAGCTGTATTTGGTACTTTGGTTTAAAGACTTGAAATGACTTGAAGCTCAAAGCAGACAACTTGGCCAGTGACTCAGGACTCGACTTGGACTTGTATTTGACTTGGGACTTGACTCGGACTTGAAGTAAAATACTTGAGACTTACTTGAGACTTGCAAACCAATGACTTGGTCCCACCACTGTAGCTTAGACTAGGACTGTCAAAAAAAAATCTACATCCAGAAATGAATAAATAAAAATAGGCCAATTTGGACCTTTTCCAGACAGTTTTAGAATCTTCTCTTTTATAAGTCCTCATGATGAAATTATGGACAACAATTATTTATGTATTTCAAAATATATGTTGTACAAGTATGTGATTATAATACAGTGATGGTAAAGGAAACAGGGCGTTTAAATATTTTAGCTTTTGACTTTGAAAGGTCCCCAAAATATTTCATATAAGATGCTGAATTTGACGACAGCTACACAAAAGAGGAAGTGGCACTCCATTTACCTTTGGCGGTCTCCGAGTTACTCAGAAGTGACTCCGAGGATGAAGAATTCAATGGATTTAGTGATTTGGAGTGATACGGAGAGTTTGGTAAACTTGTTCTGTTCTGTTGTTTATGCTATAATTAAATGAATAACTGTTCATTTGTGATGTTAACAGCCTGTTGTTTTCTGTTCTATTGTTATATTACTATAACTTGCCTTTCAAGATGAAATGTGGGTTCCTGGTCTCTGATTTCATAATGTAAATTTCCCCCAAAAAGTGTGACTTACAGTCCGGTGCGACTTATAGTCCAAAAAATACGTTAGTTTCGATACTTTTGACAACCCTAAATTAGTATCGAACTTTTTCCTTAGTATAGAAATCAAGTTTTTCATACCATAACAACACTTGTGAGTTAGTCCTTGTATATACTACCTGGTCTTGATTTGGTCTCTTATTCCTATAGTTTTGTCTCACTCTTCTGGTACGTGTGACCATTATAATTAGATTAGTGGGGTAAATCAGATAGCAATCCCCAAACCACTGCGGGCCACTTGCTACACACCTCCATTAGACCTTGTAATTGTATTGATTGTAATTATTGAGAGCAAGGCAACAGTGGATTGGGCCTTAGAGGGCTTCCAATCTCCATAATTGTGAAGAAATGCAGAAATCAAGGCTAGAGCTGGAGAGTAAGATGCATTTATATTAGTGCATTTACTTGTCAAGCTTTCTGAATAAATTGTACATAGTTTTAGCATCAGTTTCAGTCATAAGCATATTTGAATAGCAAACTTCTTATTTATTCAACTCTTGTCTGTCAGGAGCTTCCAAATTATTATGAGAGCGATAATATATGAGTTTTTTTTCTCATAAAGATGCAATTTGCTTCCTACATGTGTATTACTTGGAGGTTCATTTTGCTCCGCATATCTAACTTAAGGTGATAATTTAAAGGTACACTGTGTAACTTTTTGGAGGTGGCATGTCACCTGCATGAATCCACGGAAGGTTAAAACCATCCTTTTGAACATTCTCTATGGAGATAGGTTAGGCTATAAGATTAAAGACTGCATAAAACAGTGGACTAAGGGAGTGTGAGGTCAATTTTTCAATGGGAAGTCAACAGGAAACAGTCTATGGAACCAGAAGTGCCCCCATTCGCACTTCCTCATGCCGTTTATGTTATAGCCACGTTACAAAATTACCATGGAAACAAGCAGGAGGAGGCCTTCAGTCAGGTTTGTGGGGCTGCAAGTGCATTCAAGTTTTTCATTGCAATATAAACATAACCAAGTATTTTCCCAGTATTTTCTTAGACAATACTTGCTTTTTACTTTTAATAATGTTATTTTAAGTCCACTGAGTAAAGTACAAATTTTGCCTATATTACACTTTTGGTCAAGGACACTTGTATACAGCTCTGGCCTGCAGCAGAAAAACAAGATTTGCAAATGAAAATGTGCACAATAAAAAATGGAATAAGTACGTAGTAAAGTTTCAGAGGCATAACAAGTGTGAGTGTGTCTTCCCACGCCAAGGCTGCAGCAGATATAGATTTGTGCTCACACCAGCCAATGTGGGCACTTACTACAATCACAAAACTTGGCAGCCCAAAGCTCACAACATAACTCTTGAAGCCTTTAAGCTACAGATAACATAAATAACATTTGAATCAACTAATAACTTGGCAACCTGTCTCAAAATGCACAAAGCCAGGCCAAAATAATTAAAGTTGAAAATAAGCTTCAAGCAAGTACAATTGTGTCTTTTTTTTATTTATTTTTATTTTTATTTATTTATTTTCAAATTTGAGATATTCTCCAAAAACTTCTCCTTTTGTATTTTGGTTGTGAAATAGTCAGGGAATAATTTCGAAACTGATTTTTAATTGATGCCATTTTAAATGGCACAATTAAAACACAAACATCTTATTTTTTCATTTATAATAGCCTATTTCAAACTTTTATGTAACACCTTATTAGAAAATGGCATTTAAAAGTCACTTTTTCTACGCTCTCTTTACATTTCATTTCAAAATACTAGATAATTAAAGCAGCGTCAATTTAACATCAATGCTAAAACTACACACTTATCTGTACCTAATGCTACTGAATAAAATGTTGCTATAGAAAAGACCAGCAAACATCCTTTTTAGCTTCCGTTGTTAATGATTTGTGAATTATAGATGAGTTTTTAAAGGATAAATATTGTCTTTTGAGATCATAAAGATTGGTTGTTTTGCAGAGACACACTCTAACTAGATTTTCAACTCACTGCACCAATTACTTCTTTACGACAGTTTTGACCCTACGCGAAGGACACATCTGAAGTAGACTCCTAATTGCCCCACGTCTTGATCATTTTAGCAGGAGTGAAGTTGGACCATTTCATAAAAGACGTATCATGTAGCCCAATAAAAAAGCCAACATTAACACTATAGCATTTATTATGGCACTTAAGCTCTCCGCTGATGTCCTGGCCAGGTTTGCTACGTGGCGTCCTCAAAATGAAAAATAATAAATGAAGGTCATTTTGTAAGTTAACGGAGCGTCTGAGACAGAGATTATGGCGTGTCCGAGCTAAGCCTCTATAAGCTTTTAAATATGAAGCTAATTTCATTAAGCTAATGTAGCCGTGCACTGGGCATAATTCAATTGGGGTGGCCTAGTGCTATTGATTTCTGAACTATTGACTGTGAAACTCGACCAAGTCTATTTCAGATAAAAGTATTCTCACCATTCACAAAATTGGTTGTGTTCAAAGAGCTGAAAAATCTCACACAAGAGAAAATTGTTCCCAAAAGAAAATAAACAACAACTTTTCTTTTGTTGTTGTCAGCGAGCCACGCACCTCTAAAAGGCTGGGACTGGAAAACCACAAGTGTCACACCAGAGCAGGAATACTGACAATGTATCCAGTCACAAAACACAAAATACCTATATTAAAAGTATTACAATACATGGCCCAATTAGAGTACTACATTTTGAATACTATACTTTCACATTAAGTTGCATTCTATCACAGAGAGAGATTAAAACAGCTTCATATTTATTGCATCACCTGTTCTGTCTGTTAGTATTCTTTTTTTTATCTTTCTACTGCTGTGTGATACCAAATAAAAGAATAACTGTACCAGAATACCAATCCAAATTAGTACAAATATTTAATGCAAAATATATTTATTTAGAATAGTGAATACCTGCACTACAATGTGTTCCTTTATATGATTCAGTCAGAGTACTTTGTTCTGAAAGCCTAAAATATTTGTTGCTTTTAAATGAAAGTGTCAAAAATGTAACTTAAGATCAAAATCAGATTTATGTTTATTTCACTGCTTATTTTGCAAATATTTATGACAATTGGAGAAGGAAAATTTGCACATTCACTTATACAGTTCTATTCTATTATTCACACTAATTATGTGCAGTTTGAAGCCTAAATTAACTAAAAAGTAACTGCATTCAAATGAAATAGTAACTTTACAAGTATTTAGTTACTTACCCCTGTCTATGAATGTTCAGTTTAATTTAAATATAAAACTTCTATAGAACTTAGAACAAAGAGAAATAAAGTAACACACCAATCTTATATAACATTCGTGTACACTCAGAGTTGTCTTTACCTGTGGTCGTAACTGTTTGCTGATGTCATTGGGGTCCAGGGCGAAGAGGGTCTCTCTCGCCCCCACGTACAGGACCCTCTCGTGGTCAGACAGGGTGAGCATGCTGTAGTTGAAAACGCCCGGGACGGTGAAGCGTGCCATGCTGTCCAAAACATCTGCAAAGGAGACACAAAGAAAGTATGGTGTTACTAATGTGGAGAGCGACGTTCATCTCGTCTAGTCAGTTCAGTTAAAGATCCGATATTACACAAAACTGACTCTTGTGAGCTTTAAATCATGTTATAATGTTAATACCTCATTAAAAACATACCTGGAGTTGTGTTTTGGTTCATTCACACATGTCTGAGTAACCATTTATTATAAGTCTGTTTACATTTTCCAGACTTTTAGATGCATTTGTGATATAATAAGTTGACAGCTCCTTTTACTTTTAGTTCAGTAGATATTTGGCAATTCCAAAGCTGAAATTATCCAAATGATTCTAGTGAAAGTGTATGGTGCTCACAAACACAGGGGAGCACTTTCTGTATTACCACAGAACATCACAAGGTGGAACAGAGTGTTTACTGTTTGAGAGAAGAACTCAGTCTAAATATGCAGGCTTTCTTGTGTAAATGAAACAAAACACAACTCCAGGTAAGTTTACGATGAGGAAACAAGATTATGCTTCCCAGTGTATAAATAGGTTTAAAAACATAAAGTTGAGTGAATTTCAGAAACTTGTCCAAATTTCTAAGCATAAATTTCAACTGGATTATGCAGCGCAGTCATTTACCCATATGGTCACAGGGATACGCTCCAGCTTGAATATTCACCCAATTTGTTTAGGAGAAATGGGTACGTTTTGCATATAAGAATTATGATTAAAAACGTGAAAAGAGAATTCATTTTAAATGGTTTGCTGCCATCTAAAACTGTGCATCGCTATTTACAACGTTGAGTTTATAAGCACAAAAGAGGCCAGAATTAACCATCTTTACATGATCCTGGTGTTTTTATTTCACTATTTTGTCCGTAAGAGTGCACTTCCTGGTTTGCGAAGGATAAAACATTCCATAATTTGATGTAGAAAAACAGCTACTTTTACAATATATCTGTACTGAGGCAAGAAAATGTTACTTTATGAAAAAAACTAACAAAAAAAAGTTCCAAGTTTGAAGCTCTTTGGAGAGTTTTTAGCAGAATGGAAATGGCGTACTAATTGTTTGGAACATACACGCCCAATTATCCATAGCTTCTCTTCGCTTTGTTGTGAAAATATGCAATAAGGTCCAAGCTAATCCATGTATCGACTTCTATAAGCAACTTGCAAGCCTGCTACGCCTCCAAAATCAATAATAAGGAACATTTAGAAATAACATGAGGAATGGCTGCGTTTTAAAGAGGTCATTTGGAGACAGACCTCTGGAGAATTAATGACTACAGTTCCCATGGGGCCTTTGTAGATTTGCAGTTACATTAGCATTAGCGTTTAGCAATGTGGGTTTGCTTGTAAAAGGGTCCTTAACTTTTAGTGGTCTTTAGTTTGAAGAAGCTAGTGGAACAAATGCTTTCTCATTTCACGGCCATGAGAGCCATTTGGAGTCACGCGCACCTCTGGACTGCCAAAGCTAGCGACACGGGGGAATTGTCAATATTCTGTATAATGGCTTCACTATAGCAGCCCAGTTACTGCCATATTTTGATCAGGCTCTTGATTTTGTGGAAATGCTTAATTATCGTCATACTTGAAAAGATTAAAGGGCACACTACGTAACTTTACTTCCACTTGAGATGTTATTGCTTTGCCTGTATGCTTCACAGTGTGGCATAACACGTATCTCCATGTAGACAACAAGGTAACAGTACCAGGCCAAGTTCCAGGTCAGATCTGTGGAGAAACGATCCTTCTCACGGTAAGAGTGCATGTTTTTCAAAGTATTTTTGAGCTATGAAAACACCTGTAGTAAAATAAGCTGCATCCCATATAGCCTAAATTCTAGATTAGAGCTCGGCAACCTTAAATACTCCAAGAGCCATTTGGAGCGTTTCCCACAGACAAGAAAACACCTGTATGCTATAAAATATAAAGTATAAAGTAAAAAACTATAGTGTGTTGCATTTATGACATCAATGAAATGCGACAGAGAATAAATGTCCATTCATATATACAGTCTATGGTATGACCCGCAGACTTATAATCTCTGAAAAGTTTAACATGAACCATCTGCAATGCGATAGAAGCACAGAACAGACTGACCATCAGCAGCACATCCTCTGTCACAGCAAGAACATTCATATTCCATTGAGTCTTGAGTCGTGTCCTTTAGTCTGACAAAAGCTGACCGCATCAGGCACACAAGGAGCGCTTATAGTTTATGCAAATTAGACATGTGGTTTTAAGTTTTGTTTCTGTAAAATGTAAACACGCTGCATTAAACACAATATTACTCAATGTCTATTTGAGTCCTCCTCGTAGGAAATAAAAATCCAAACTTAAATTATCCACCCGCAGCGAAGCAAAAACACTGTCTGCTTCTGTGTCTACTCATCATTTTATCACGTGAACCAGTCTCAACAGCCGTGAAAGCAAATGGATCTGCCCACGTAGCATTAAAAGTTCTGTTTTCTTCAGAAATGTTTCTTTTCTTGCACTTATCCAGCATTTACCTACAATGGGTCGAAAAGCTCAATAAATCATGCTGCTGGTGAAGGACCTGGTAAATCCGGGCTGTCAGATCTGTGCAGGGTGTCGCACATCAGCAGCTTTAATGCAAATTTTGAGCGACAAAAATATTTAAAAACATTTTATTTGAATGTTACTAGATTACCATTATCTACAAATTTAGAACTATATTTAAAAACGAACAAACTAAAATAAAAATACATTGACATGACCCACAGGTTGGCTAGTGTGATTCCAGCTCCCACAGATGAATGCTGTCGTTGTGTCCTTGGGCAAGACACTTAACCCACCTTGCCCACAGTGTCTGCGTACACTGGTGTGTGAATGGGTAAGTGGTTCCTTGTTGTAAAGCGCTTTCAGTGCCTTGAAGGTGGAAAAGTGCTATAGAAAAATGTGACCATTTACCATACTGTGGAACATTGAAGGCACATCATTAACATCTCAATGGAGAGAAACAGGTAGCACTAGAAAAGTTACCTAGTGCAGCTTTAAAACTTAAGTGTTTTTGTCAATAATCACGTGTTTTTGTCAATAATCACGTACAGCTGTGGTCTACAAAAACTACAGATAATGGTCTATAGTTCTCAACAAAACAATGCATTTTAAGCCAGGTTCAAATATTTATTTACAAGTCCACAATTCTGATACATGTGATATTAGAATAAGATTTGTCAAAATGTAATACAGTTCCACAAATAATCGTACATTAACTCCATCAAAATCCCCAAACAGCAGTCCATTTCAGCACTCAACTTCATTTGGGAGGACATCACAGTCTAGTCTTTATCACAACATGGGCAGGTCCAAGCACCATTACCTTGTGTTTATGTGCTTTATGAGTTTGTCTAAATACGCTCACATCTTATCTGCTTTATGACGCTCCGATCTGGACCTTATCAGACATGGCTTGGCTCCTGCTTTAGCCCATCCTAGAGTAAATACAAGGCTTTGGGAAGATCTTTGTTTGGCCTGAAAATAATTTACAACAGATCGTGAAGCTTGATATTGTGAAATTAAGTAAACACTTGAGGATCAGCGTAGTATTGTGAAATGAAAGTTGAAATGCTGGTCGTAATGAATTATCACTACGCTTTTAAATCTTGCAAAATCCAAACAAGTATTATTTCCCAATTTCTATTGAGAGAGAATAGTCAACAACAATGGTCCAGCAACTGCAGTCATTAAAAACATGAAAAACTATAGTTAATTTTAAGAAACAACTAGCATATGTACACATTTTGTCTTTCTCAGACAATAAAATGATTTCTAATTTGTTGCAGACTTATATTTTACTTATTTAGAGTTCAAAAATAGAGTTAGAGTTAACAAAAAAATTATATTGATCTATCTATATTAACATGTGTGAACGAAACAAAACACAACTTTGTATATGTTTTAGAGGAAGTAAAAACATTCTAACATGGCATAAAGCTCACAAGAGTCAATTTTGCACAATGTAAGACTTTTAAGGATGTGGTCATTGTATCAGCACTTGTGAAAAAATTGAAAATTGTGACGTTCATTCTCACAATAATAATAAACTGCAAATATCATTCACCTTAGCGTACACAATAATCTGTTATAGTAAAACCGCCGTGTTAATTGCGTACATTACAACCAATTGAATGTTGATTTATCGTGAACAGAGCTTGAATTCTCCGCTTTATCCATTCACCCATCTTATATTATTGCAAATGAGAAACCAGATCCCAGACACATGTGGGCTGAATATATATAACGCGTGAAAGCCCATAACGCGCAGTATCAACGTGAACCAGTGATTAGCCTGTTATTTGAGGCGCACATTCACAACACAAATGGCATTTTAATCCAGGCATAAACCAGGCCTTACACTGTGTCCAGGCCATCACCAGCGCATTAACCAACATTAGCCATGAGATAGCGATTGTAAGACTGACAGAAATGGTGGAGTCAATGGGATTCATAAGGCCTGGACTGAGCTCAAATGAGATCAATTCAAATCAATTCTACCTCAATAAATGTTATGACTTTTCCTGTGTAGATGTGTCCAATTTGCAGTAGAGATGGCTTAATATAATACGTGTATTATCACAGTTTTAGGTACTTGATAATAATACATTGGAATTAAATGCCATTAGAAACATATGGAGAGATTAAGGAATTTGGATTGGTCAATTTATTGCCAAGGGTACAGACAAATAGATTCTGGGGAATGTTTTTTTATCAACAAAATGAGGTTTCTAGAAATTAAAAATGTGATAAAAAAAATGTGATTAAAAAAAAAAAAGTTTCTCACTACAAAACTGTATATGTAAGCCCGCTGACAAAAAAATTGGGGGCCATGGGGCAAGAAGCCTCACATGGGGCCCCCTCTAATATAAATTAATTGGAAGCGGGTCCAATTCCAGCCATTAAAACCCAGGGGTTTTAAAAGCCATTGTCTACTGTGTTTTTTTGTTTTGGTTTTTTTTTTTGGTATTTTTAGTTGAAACTTGGTTAATTTGCATC